CTGCCGGAGGAAAGGACTGGAAACAAGCTCGGGACACAGCTTTAAGGAATACCTTCTCCACGCCATCAAGTACTATAGGCTTTTTTTTTTAAACTTATATTTACTTATTTAAAACAGTGACAAAGAGAAGGAAGGGACGGGGAAAGATAGATGGATGGCCATCACCCAGCCAGCGGTCCATCACCTGCCAAATGGCCGCAGCGGCCGAGACGAGCCACGCTGAAGTCAAACACTGCAAGTTGCAGCTGCGCCTCCTGTCTGCATGTAGGGACCCCAGGCACTAATTAGCAGGGAGCTGGATAGGAGGTAGAGCAGCTGGAAGCTGGGCACACACCATTCTGACATGGAATGCTGGCATTACAGGTGGTGGTATAATCCACTGTGCCAATAATGATGACCCCAAATACAGGTATCAGCAGTGAAGCAAAGAGGGAGGGGTCTTTGTTCTCCTATCTCCAGGGTCTACCTACACCAAAAATCAAGGTTTTCTCGCATTCTCCTGCGCATCCGCATTGAGATCCCAGCACAGCAGGCATCGGGGTTTCACAGGCAACAAGCAGGTAGGCTGCCTATTCCTACCTAAACCACTCTAATTCCAGGCACTTCATCAGCCGGACATCCTTTATCTGAAAGTCTCAAATCTGAAATCTTCCAAAACTGGAAACTTGTGCTCAGAAAGTTCTGGATTTTGGAGCACTTGAGTCTCAGACTGAGGATGCCTTATCTGTGTGACGTCATGCATTTCTGTGTACAGCACAACTGAATCTGAAATCACCACCAACTGATCGCAGGAATGAGAACAGCGTCCCACAGCACAGTGCCAGGTTAATTCCAATCCAGCTCGCTACTAATGCACACAGGAAGGAACATGCAGCAGAACCAACAGTTCTGAGGTCATGGTCTTGGCCTGGCCCAGCCCCATCTCTTGTGGCCATCGGAGGAAGGAACCAGCAGAGACTGCTGTTCTGTTTTTCCCTCTGTCTCCTTGATTGATTGGCTGATTTGAAAGGCAGCAAATAAGTCTTTAAAAAGCAGTAGGTTCCTTAGTAAGAAAACTTTTTCTTAAAGATTTTTTTTTTTATTGTGAAGTTAGATATACAGATAGGAGGAGAGACAGAGGGGAAGATCTCCCGTCTGATGGTTCACTCCCCAAGCGGCCACAACAGCTGGAGCTGAGCCTATTTGAAGCCAGGAGCCAGAAACTTCCTCCAAGTCTACCACGCAGGTGCAAGGGTCCCAAAGCTTTGGGTAATCCTTGACTGCTTTCCCAGGCCACAAGCTGGATGGGAAGCAGGGCTGCAGGGATTAGAACCAGCATCCATATGGAATCCCGGCACATGCAAGTCGAGGACCTTAACCACTATGCTATCATGCCGGACTGCAGAAAACTTCAGGTTTACAATGGAGTTGCCAAGATATAACACGGTCGCTGGGTCTGATCCAAGCTCCCACATGGCACCCCCAGGGTCACTCTCGTCACCTAACTGGAGCTTAGTCCCCAGCTTTAGCCACTGCTGCCTGGTCATCTGGCCGGCCTCTCAGCCTCCGTCTCCAGGACAGTGATGGCTTATGGTTCTGCCCTCATCTCCCATGACCTTGGCATTCCTGACAAATAATGAACAGAATATACAGAATTCCTTAGATTTGGTCTGGACTTATTTCAATGGGATGGGGATTTTTAAAAATGTGTCTCTTTCACCACTAACAGAGACAGAAAGTTAAACGAGCTTGCCGAGGTACAGACAGCTTAGATTTTGTTTTGGCATTCACCACACTTAACTTGAGCTTCATCAAGCAGCAGGCAGGATTTCAGTAGTTCAACATGAATGCTACCCATTAACAATGTTCTAGAAAACTAAAAGAAAATGACAAGGAAGCCAAAACAGCTTTTAGAAAAACAAATGCATGGCCATCTTGTTTTTTTAATGGAAAAGCAAATGTGAACTGACACAGGTGATTCACAGTTACTTCAGAAGACACAGGAAGTGACATGAATTTCTTTTTAGCTGAAGCTTTACTGGAATATTTTCAAAGCACGGGTCTGTGCGAACAGCACCTCTTTCCAACCAGAGTGGTTACGCTGCAGGGGGTATCCTTGGCAAGCAGCACTGTTTACCCACCAGCGGGATGGCCATCCTGATAAAGCTAGGGAAGAAGCTAAAGCTAGGGAAGAAGCTAATTCCCTTTTACTCGGAAGAAGTCACTTCTAAGAATCTGCTTGAAGAACCACTCCATGATACCAAATGGATTTGTTAGTCATCAACCAACCCCGCTCCACCCTAATCAGAGCCAAGGACCTTCCGTGGGGCACCAATGCTGGTGGAGTGCTTGGCGGCCCTTCCCCGAGCTCTCACCCTCTGCTCCCTCCCCCTCCTGTGCCAGGATCACCACAGGCCTGGACCCTTCTGTCACTCCTGGCTCCTCTGGCTTCTGGCTCCTGCGCCTTTAATCAGCCCTCCAGACAGCTTCAAATTTCTATTCTGAACTCTCCAAGTGAGGAGCCCTCCTCCCTGCTGTAAGACCTGCAGTGAATGCCCAGAGCGCTGGAGCTGCTCTCAGCTCGGCAGTCAGGTCCACACGCAGAGGCTATCCACAGCGACACGTCCTCAGGTCTCCTGTGCAGTCTGAGCTCTGACCCGGACTGTCGGCCAGGCGCACACAGCACCATGTGGCATGCAATGGAAGACAAGGCGAGCTCAAGCAAGGCCATGCAGAGAGCTCTTGGCTAGACTGCGCCTGAGCTATGGGGATGTTTTTCAGAAGACAGCAGCAGAACAGACACCCAGGAAAGCAAGCTCCTGTTGCTTTTCCCCACTAGGTACAGCCTTCCAGAAGCATCTCAGTCTTACTCCCATGCTCCTCTTCACACTGTGCCCTCTACCCAGTCTCCCCGATGTTATTCATCTTACAAGTTAAGACCTGCCAGAGAGTACCACGTACCAGGTACTAAGTCCAAAACAAGGCACAGACTGGAAAATGCAAATGACAGTACCTTCACTTTTACAAATCTTAGAACACAGTGCAGTCAAACACAATGCAAACAAGCACATCATTGACACGTGAGAGTACAGTCAAGACACCCCAAGTTTCTAAGAGCGAAGAACTGTTTTTGCATTAGTGGTGGGTGAACAGCAGAGTAAACAACCCTGATGCTGAAGCTTCTGGAGAACTAGCATAGAAGACTGGGCCAGCCCCAGCCTGGGCTCAGGCACATCTGCTCTGTCTTGGCTATGCTCACACAATAGATAGAACCTCGGAGTGCCTGTGTGGCACCTGTTTTGAAGATGAAGAGCCTTTCAAAACCTAGAAAATACCTCGGACTGCATTCTTCCTGTGCTAATTGTTTAAATACTTACAATTCAAGGAGACCTGACAACGATTCTGAGAGCACCAGGCCTGCTTTTGAGAACCACACTCTCAGCACTGAGGCGCACTGGGCCTTCACGGCACCTTGCACAGGGAACTCTTCCATGCCGACACAGATGTATGAGAACCGAGGCCCACGTCGGTGGCTGTCGCCATGACTTTTCTCCTCACCCCATGGACAGACAGCACAGGTCACACCGAGTCTCCCACTGTCACAGCTCCAGGAGTGCAGTCACCGCCCGAGATCCTCCAGGGACAGAACCCTTCCTCCCCTCATCCTGGGTGTGCTGCACACGGCCTGTGTCCACCTGCACAGCTGCTTGCCCTCTGGCACACTGCTGCCCTGAGGCAGTACGTGCACGCCAACGGTCTGCGGCCACCGTGGGTGAGGACAGAGTTCTACCCGATTCTGTACATCCGGCCGTCTACTCACAGGACGCAACTGTGCTCTGTAAGAGCCGCTTCCTCAGACGCCTGCGCCAGGACTTCACTTATGGGTCAGAGAATATTTAAATATACAGAAGCATCACTAGAAAAAAGGCGTGGAACATTAGAGAACAGTGTGCTTTTTTCCTTCTCTGCTAGTCAATGCACAGTGCACTGCACTCGTCGGATGCTTTATACTTTTTGAAACAAATGCTGCCGAGTTGCTGCTGCTGTACCACAGGAAGTAAAGCCACTGTCTGCTGTGCCAGCATCCTGTACAGGCACTAGTTCGCATCCTGGCTGCTCCACTTCCCATCTAACTCTCTGCTAGATGCCTGGGAAGAGAGTAGAGCATGGTCCACGCATTCGATTCCCCTGTGCCTCCTATGGGAAACCTGGAGGCAGCTCCTTGCTTCGGCCCAGCCCTGTGCTGGCCATGGCAGCCATCTGAAGAGAAAACCGGCAGACGGAATGTCTCTGACTCCCCTTCTTTCACCAACACTTCTATGATCTCTGCCCTCAGGTTATCCCAGAGCTGAGTGAATGGGGGGCCCAGCTGCGCTCAGGACTCGCCGCACTCGCACGCAGGCACACAGGGCCTTGCCCAGGCTGCACGTCCCCGGGGATGTGGATGCTCTCAGCCAGCACGGCCCCACGGCCTGCCCCGCTGGGAGGGCAGCGCCTCCTCTGCTGCAGCCACTGAGCCAGCTCTGCTTCTGGAAGCCTCTACACCATGCACTACTTACCTTTCTCAATCTGAAAGGCAGAGCAATTAAGAGACAAACGGCCACCACGGGCAGGCAGGGCCAGGCTGCAGCCAGAAGGCAGGGCTCCAGCTGCGTCACCACACGGTCAGCGGGAGCTCAAGCATTGGGGCCATCTTCCACTGCCTTCTAAGCACGTTAGCAGCACGCACACACACAATGCTACACAGGATTCACCCAGCATGACTGCTTTTAATATAAATTAAATATTCATTTTCTCTGTGTCAAAACATCTGAGACTATAATGGCTGAGGTGGCAGGACGCGGTGCCTGTGTCACTGTTGTCCCCGGCTGGGAAGCATGTGCAACCAACGCCTACTTGCCACAACATGACTAACTGCCGGCTTCTCACCTAAACGACACAACGGCATCGCATGCAGTCCACCACATGAGAGAACTGGCAAAGGTTCAGCATTGGATCACGACACAAGAGATTCTAATTACCTTGACAGAATCCAGTAAACTCTTAGGGAAAAATCGCTTTAAACCAACATCTTTTCTGAAATACAAAAAGAAGCAAATTAACAAATAATAGTACAAAATAATTAATATAATGACATACTTTCAAGAATGTAAAAGCACTTTAAAATTGTTTTTTGCTTCCATATTTTATTTAGGAAGTTAACAAGTCTAACAATGCTTCTTCAGCCGCAGGTGTGTGGATGGCGGGAGGCGCCTCATTCTCTACATACACACACAAAAGGAGAATAGAGTTGGCTTCCAAGAAATCCTTTTGGTGGTGGTTTTTTTTTTCCTTAAATCCTTGCTATTAAAAATTCTTCTAAAATATACCCTCTTGGAAAATCTCCTTCAGGAACTGCTTCAAGGGTATCCTTATAAACATCGTCTCTACAGAAGCAGTATTTTTAAAGAAATCAACTGGCCTGATTTGGAAAGATTCAAAACAGAACTAAAGAAATTTTTCTCCCCCTCTAAATAAGTCACTTAGTGGCTAGCGCGGTGCTGTGGGAAGTTAGCCACCAACACTGTGATCTTGCATGGACACCGATCCAAGTCCTTGAGCTCCTGTTAACGCAGGGCAGCGCCCTGGGCTCAGCTCCTCTTCTGTCCTCTGCCCGGCCCAGGCCCAGCCCCTGTGGCCACTGAGGGGTGCAGCAGCTGCAGGGCGCACTCTGTCCCCTTCCCTCCCTCTCGCTGCAGCCTTCAACAAGTCAATCTCTGGGACTCATCCTACGAGTGAACGGTTTTCAGAAACAAACTCAAGGGATTCAATCGTGTATTCTTGGCCTGTCACCTGCTTCACGCACGGAGAACAAATCAACGCAACCGGATGGCAGGTGACTGGCCACAGGCCAATGGCTGGACATGAAGAGCTGCTAGGAGGCCTGGCAGTGTTCTTTTATAAACCTCAATCAGGACAACTTCCAGCCAAAATACAAAACAGAAAGATATAAAGGTTAAGTAAGTGTACACTTGCAATCTCACAAAGGAAGGATGTAACAGAGGCCAGAGCACCGGGAATCAAAGGTCGGAATCAAAGGTCGGCAGTATGCATCTCTACTCCTGAGTAAAGGTGAGCCCCCCAAAACTGTTACATATACCTAGACAACAAAGGCTGCACTCTACCACTGCTTACACCTACAATGTCATGACCCACATAAAGAGCAGAATGCTGCAGCTCAAACTACAGCTGCAGGACTAGATTGTTGCAAAATACACGGCACAGTACGGGGGGAGGTGGGAAGGAGATAGAAGGGGAAGCTCTATACCTACAAAACCGTAAAATGAGAATAATAAAAAAACATAAAATACTAACAAACAGAAAAAATCCCCAAACAAAACTTAAGCAACCACCACTCTCAAGGGCCTCAAAACACTCTAGACAGAACAGGCGGCAAGGGGCAGCAGCTGCTCTGGTGCCGACTCTGGCCGTCTGTCCGCTAGGTGGCACTGGTGTGCCAGGAAGACAGACTGCTGGCTCTGCAGCCCTGCAGGGACCTATGGGCTCAAGCGGAAAACAGACTGGAGGAGACCAGGAAAGCACAGAAAATATACAGGAGAAAAAAGTCAACTGAATGTAAAATATCAAAACACTGGGAAACCTTCTTCCATAACCTTTGGCCTGTAATGGCAGGAAGCTTAAAGAGAAATCATGTCAAAATTTCTAGGAGTCATCACCCAGACAAACATCTAGTCCCCTCTTCCGTCAGCTACTTGCGTGCAGCAAATTCAACAAACTCTTGTTAAATCCAGAATCAGTGCCAGCTCTTTTTTATTGTTACTAATGTTTTCTATATTCTACAAAAGTCTATCTTCGCTTTAAAGGCACACTGTGTTCTGGTTTCACATACCAATTAATTCACGCACTGCTGGCTCCTGCATGTCTAAGCTCTCGTTTCCAAGTTTCCTTCCTGCCTTCTCACAACTGCCATCTCTACTGTGACTGTTAAAGGGGAAGTCGACCCAAGTTCTCCCAGGTTTTTATTGCTTCATAAAAACCACGGGGTCACTGGTGCCAATCACTACTGGGAAACAGGAAATGACACACATCAAATAAAAGCCATCTTTCTAGAATCTCCAAGGCACTGACTGTGAGCACCGCGCTCCCCGTCCTTCTGAGGCCCCTGGCTTCTGTCACTGTGACCACCCTGTGCCTGGCCAGGGCCAGAGGCAGTCCTACTGCGCGTGCAGGGGGAGAGGCCTCCCTGTGAGCACTTGAAAGGAGTCCTGGTCAGTCTTGGTCTAGGGCAACAGCAGGGTAGGCAAATCTGGCCGTGAAGCGGCCTTGGTCTCTAGGTTCCGCGTTCATTTCTCAAAGTCAAGGGGAAGTAAAGCATCTTCCACAGTTATTTCTATTACAAATGAGAAAACTAAAAACTGACCGAGAAAGCTGCATGCCCCGAGGGTAGGAAAGAACAAATTCCTTTACGAAAATGAGGACTGTAATTACGTGTCATTTTCATTTCAAAAATGATAACTGCACTAGAAAAAAGCCCAAGGCCAAAGCACAGCGTGTGTGCAGTCAGTAACATTTGTAGAAATATCAGAGCTCTTAGAAAATAGGTAGGCAAGAAAGATAAAACTGAGGCTGAGGCCCACGAAATCACGGGGTAGGAGGATTCAACACCAACCCAACACACATTAATCAGGACCCCAATCTGGACCTGGTGCAGCAGCCTAGTGCTTAGTTAGTGTCCTCACCTTGCAAGTGCTGGGATCCCATGTGGGTGCCCAGTTCATGCACTGGCTGCTTTGCCTTCCAGCCAGCCCCTGCTTGTGGCTCAAAGCCTTGGGACCCTGCACCCGCATGGGAAACCCAGAAGCTCCTGGCTCCTGGCTTTCGATCGGCTTGGTTCCAGCTGTTGCAGCCACTTGGGGAGTGAATCAACAGACACAAAATCTTTCTGTCTCTCCTCCGTAAATCTTCCTTTCCAGTAAAAAACAAATAAAATCTTTTTTAAAAAATCTGATTTCAGCTTGGCGATAGAAGATTCTAGGAACATTCAAGTTCCTATGCTCACAGCTCTTCGGGAGAGCCCGTGACAGACACCAAGGCCTGCACAGTCCCAGTTCTCCAGGTCGCCTCCCTGGAACTCTGTGCAGCTACACTGGTTTCAATGCGCATCTCATCTGTGGTTTGCCTCCCGTGATAAAACCTCTTTCAGCTTCAGTATCCCAGATAAAACAATTAATTTAGTGTGTTCAGCACAAACAACTACTGGCATTTACTGTAATTCTTTACTACGTAGTTAAAAGGGCATAGCCTAGATGCACTTAAACTCATTTGATAAAACTAGGGCACATAAAGTTTTACAATAATATCAAACCCAAGTCCCAATTCCTTAGATTCCCATCAGCTACTCCAAAGACTGGAAATTCACATTCCATTAGAAGCTGTGCTGTCCAACACGGAAGCCACTGTCTGTCTGCGGCTGTGTATAATCCAATTCCCTTCCCAATCCTATCAGTGTAGACAGCTCAAAGGGCCCTTCAGTGTAGATAGCTTAAAGGGCAGGCTGGGAACAGAGGGAGGCCTTCTTTCTCTCAAGGGCAGGGGTGGCAGCCAGCCCACGCCCAGTTAAAGCAGTGGCCCTGCCACGGTATCTGCAGATGGAACTCAGGGTGCAGTCGCCCTCAGGCAGGCTAGCGTGCAAGTAAATAATTTTGTACAGTCCGTGAGTGATGCTATGAACACCCAGAAGCCCTTGCAGGAAAAAGGCTTCTCCACCCTTGGCCAGAGCTCAGTAATAAAAATGGAACACGAGAACAGATGGGTGCTGGGCTCCCTGACGGCCTGATGGCGCAGCAGGTGCCCTGGCTTAGTTTGGAACACGGCAGGAGGAAGGCGTGGTGCGGCGGTGAGGGAGCCTCCTGCGGAGGACACGGCAGCAGATCTGAGCCCAGAGGGGACCCTCTGAAGGGCCTCTACATCCGTGCAGGGCTGGGATAGGCACGGCCCAGGGGGACAAAGACAGTGTGCAGTCCTCCCTTCTCAGGACTGGAGCACTCATCTCCTGGGGAAGCTCCAGCAACCGCTGGATTCCACAGAGGACAGGATGGAAGCAATTGCATGAGCATCTCAGCACAGCCAATACCACTTCCTGCCTGATCTGCCAGCACTTCCAGCTTTGCTGCCTTATTTTAGGCATCTAAGGAAAACACTGGATTACCAATGACAACAATGAGGGAAAAAAAGAAAGAAAAACACTACAACCGTGATTAAGCTAATTTTCAATGCTCCTTTTTCAAGAAGAATTTTTGGAGTAACCAATCAAACCTCAAGATGTCAGGGTTTTTTTTCATACACATTACTTTTTGATATTCTATTAACTACCAAAATCAGAGAAAATACACATTGGTCTTTTGGAGACTGGCTTGTTTTACTAATCATAATTCCCTCCGATTGCATCCAGTCTGTTCTGAAAAACAGAATTTCATCCTTTTTTATGGCTGAGTAGTACTTATCAGGCATACCTACCACATTTTCTCTATCTAGTCATCAGTTCATGAACATCTGGATTAGTTTTGTATTTTATCTGAGTTAAGCTGCTATAAGTGGAGTTATGAAAAATTCTTTCAGGGGCTGGCTCACAGCTCAACTGGCTAATCCTCCACCATCAAGTGCCAGCACCCCTTATGTCCCAGCTGCTCCACTTCCCACTTAGGTTCCAGTTTGTGACCTGGGAGAACAGAGGAGCATGGCCCAGGGCCTTGAGCCCCTGCACTCCTGCGAGACGCAGAAGCAGCTCCAGCCATGGTGGCCATCTGGGAAGTGAACCAGCACATGCAAGAGCTTTCAGTCTCTCGTCATAAACACATCTTTAAAGAAAACCCTCTTTCATATGTGAACCTCCTCTGGGTGGATCCTCAGGAGTGGGATGGCTTGGTCCCATGGTAGACCCACTTTCAGGTATGGAGGGCTCCATCCTGCCCTAGTTTACAAGCCCACTGATGCTGTGTTAGGGTTCTTTTCTCCACACCCTCACCAGCGCTCGTTTGTTTGTAATTTCTGGGTGACCATCATTCTGAGGCAGCAGG